ATCAGTGAAACCACAAAATAAAGATGATTTATATCTGTTCACTAGTTGCTTCCACCTCCGAGCTTCCAGCTTCCAACGATGAGGCTCCACTGGCCATTCAGCTCATAGTTAGTAGCACTCAGAGAACATAGCAATTCAAGATTATAATAATGAATCAATCGATTACGCAGAAAAAACTAATTATTTTATTGGGGGGAAAAAAAGGAAAAGATAGAGAAGGGAGGCGATTACCGATTATGTTCTAAGTAGCCTGCGACGACACCTTGCTAAGTTGATTAGTGTAAGCACAACAATCCTCTCATACAAATTATTTAGGAAGGTGAAGTAAGCATTCCTCCAAGAACGGAATAAGCAATGAACCGAAGATGGCCCAAAATCCTGTAACAAATCCCAAACCCATGCTTATGTAAAATCCTTGGGACAAAAATGAATCATCTTGCTCTTCCTCAATCGATGCGGCTTTTGTTCCTTTTTCGTCTGGACAAAGTCTTTGCAGCGGACTTCCACAAAGAAATGGATTCCCATCATATGCAGAGGCATCAAAACTTTGGAGCTGTGTTCCCGATGGGATTTTCCCAGATAAATTGTTGTTTGATAGGTTCAAAACAGCAAGCCAATTCATTTCAGAAAAACTTGAAGGGATTGGTCCAGATACATGGTTTGTCGATAAATCAAGGAACTCAAGGGCATGCAGATTTCCAAGCTCCCAAGGAATAGCACCACTCAAATTGTTGCTTGATAAATCTAAGGATACAAGTTCCGAGAGATTCCCAATTTCTCTTGGAATTTTCCCACATAGTTCATTCTCCGATATATCAATGAGCTTCAGAAGTCTTTGATCGTCCTTGAATGACAATTCCTTTCCTTTCCACCTCACTGTAGGATAAAAATCATAACTGAAAACATACGAAGGTGAGCCATTTGTAAAGACGTAGAATTCATCAATGGCATCGGTAGATTTAGGTTTTCGAGCCATTGCTGATAAGTTTCGGAGACATTTTGGTATTTGTCCAGACAAGTTATTCAGTGAAAGATCTAAAACTTGAATGTTTGTTAAATGACACAGATACGATGGCAAACTCCCGTTAAAGTGGTTGTTTCTCATGCTAAGAACTTGCAAGTTTTGAAGGTTAAATCCTATCCATGGAGGTATGGGTCCTGACAATTCATTTCGCGCCACATCCAACATTACCAACTGGGTGCAATTTTGCAGAGATGGAATTTGGCCTGTGAAGTGATTGTCACGTAAAATTAAGTGACGGGCCAAAATCAAGGAGCCCATTGAGGTTGGAATCTTTCCAGAGAACTCATTATTGCTCAAATCAAGAATTCTTAGTGATGCTAAGTGATTCCAACAATCTGGGAGTTGTCCTTTGATATTATTGCTTGAAATGTTCAAATGGTTCAAACTTCTTTTGGTAGAGCATAGAAAAGCAGTTGTTGTTTCCATGTCTGAAATCCCAGAATCCGAAACATCAAGATCGTACAGGTTATTTTGTGTTTGAAGCCATCTGGGAAAAGAAGGACCTAATGCGACGGATTGGGCTGCAAATGATGTCAATTGAAATTGAGGAATCCAATTGTTGCTAAAATTCAACGTAAATGAGTTCCAAGATAAATCTAAGAGCTTCAACTTTGTGAGATTGGCAAAATGGGCCAAGTTTGTGATCCTACCTCCTAAAACATTGCTCGCAACATTGAACTCTTCGAGTCCTACCAGATTTGCAATTGTTTTCGGCATGGTTCCATTTAATTGATTGTTTTGGAGGTACAATATTTGAAGGGAATTCATTATTTTGCCTAGATCGTCTGGAATGGGACCTTCTAGGAGGTTTGAGTTGAGACCTAGATATACAAGACTCGTAGAGTTTCAAACGGAACAACCAGGGAAATATGGATGATGTGAACATGTTACGAGATAGATCAAGTTGAATTAGAGAATGAGAAAAGTTGAGCTGGGAAGGATGCGCCAAAAGAAGATCAATATCTGAAAGACCAAACTTTGACAGACTCAGATATTGCAGGCTTGGTAGATGACCAATTATTTGTAACAAATTTTTGGATTTTCTATGATTTGACACACCACCTAAATCAAGAGTATTCAAAGAAGAAAGGCGAGAAATCCATTGAATGTTGTCAATTAAGAGATTGTCATTTGAACCCAGACCAAGATTCTCTAATCTTGAAAGATTACCAAGTTGGTAAGGAATGACACCACCTAGATCATTGAAGGGGAGCATAAGTTCCTGCAAATTGACAAGATTTCCCAATTCCCAAGGGATCTCTCCTATCAAATAGTTGTAAGAAAGACGAAGGATTCTTAAGCTTGAAAGATTTCCCAATTGGTAAGGAATTTTCCCACCAAAATAGGCCTGAGTCAGATCAAGGTGCCTTAATTTAACAAGAGAACCAATAAATTCTGGGATTGGATCCCCACGGAAATCGTTCCAACCTAAATCCAAATACTTTAAATGTCTCAGTTCCACCAAAGATGCACTAATCTCACCTCTCAAGGTTGATCGTAAACACGAGCATGAAGATCAAGCATCACAACATGGCCTGTTTGGTTGCTACACTTAACACCCCACCATCTGCAACAATCAGCGTCTCCTTCTGAACCCCATGAAGATAAATGCCATACTCATCCACAAGCCCTTTCTTCAGCTCCAAAAGTGCTTGCCTTTCTCTCTCTACGCAACTCATGCTTCCATTTGAGTGCAGAATCTGCACCTGCAAAACCCAGACCAAGAATATGGTTCGAAGCAGATTTAGACTGTTCCAACACATGGTCACTCTTTGGATTTGTCCAACATTATGGAACCTTCAATTTATAATCATTTCTTTCGTCAAAAACTAAACAGCATAGCGTGTTTTAGGTGGCTTGCATGTAGCATCCTTTTCGTCGATTGCTTTCTTCCACTCCCATAATTTCAAGCTTTCTAATTACTGCAAGGCTCAATATTCCAAAAGTCTGCCTTCAAAAGTCCTAGTAAAATGATTTTTTCAAAGCCACCGGACCCATACAAAGATATATACGGATGCGTATTGCGTAAGCATTATTAATTTCCAAAGCCAGACTGAAAGAGAAGCTGCGCTCCAGGTTGCTGGTGAATTACGTAAGCGTGGATTCCGTCAAACCGACAGGGTTTGCAAAATATAATGAAAATTAATGATATATCGAGTAAATTAAATTAGGGACGTGGAAAACAAATCAACAAGTTAATGATGATGTATGTGATGGCGTGTTTATCTTTTTGGCTATTTTTGGCTTATCAACGTTTGATTATGCATGCAACAAGATAAGAGTTTTTTTATGAGGGAGATTATGTATGATGGTAAACAAGAGGCATATAATATAGCAGTCCAAATTGGAATAGAAAGTGCATTCACCGATTTAAAAGAATTTCATTATTAGAATAAAAAGCTTATACGTAGTTTATCAGTGGAAGTGACTGTGAAGATGAAGAATACGATCATGAAAGTTCCTCGGTTAGACAGTCAAAATTGGGAACCTCCGTGTTTTTTTTTTTGAGTCGATGTTGAGTCCAATTTTTTTTGGGTGCAATGTTCTCCAAGACTGTTTGAAAAAGGCCTAAGCTGGAGAGCGGAAATGGGTCTAGAGCAAGCCCATACGATTTGGGCTACTAGCCCACACCATTATATTTTGGGCCTCATTAATGATCTTTTGTGGGTGCTCTCGTGATTTTTTCAGTGGAAATTCCGTTTAATCTGTACAACATTCATGGGTCCTATATCGTCGTATTACCTGATATTGGAAGCCTCATTCCTCAACCTATTGAAGTCAAAATGGAGGGAAACCAAAGGGGAAAAAAATCCTCAACTTATTATCGTTATTTTTCTTCTGAAAACATACGAGAGAATGACGGTTAGATTTATAGGAATACATTAATATTAGTTAAGTTCCAGACAGATTTTCATAAAAATAAGTTTAAATATCGATTCAAATAATTGTAAAATTGAAGGATCTCACTAGCAAATAAGACATGGATTTAAGTTTCAAATAAAACTCTCAATCTATAATTGAAATTTTTTGTTTGCAATAGTATGAATAGCCATATTTGCATTTTCAAGAAAAGTTTAGGAATGACCTAACTATGTCACTAATCCAACATTTGATTTTAGTGCCTGTAATTTTCATTCCACACATACATGGATGAAAATATTAAGTTTGACAAGTCTAACCGAGAATATCACAGTAGGGAACAAAATCAAAGAAGATAAGATTCTCAACAATAACTAATTAACATAAGCACACAGTACAGAAGCTTTATTTTGATGGTAGCTAACAGAAACCCATTCCATATGTATTTTTGCTTCTACTACAAACTGCTTCTCTCATCACGATCTTCCAGCTTCAAATGAGCATCGGGCTCCCCTCATCAACGATTCTTATTGGTTTTAAGCGATCCCAACAATTTGGAAGTTGTTCTTTCAAGTGATTGCTGTTGACAATACCTACAAAATAACAAAAAATATGGTTTGAGTTATATCCAAGGATACTGTCCTTAAAAGATATAGCTTGTCGATTTGATAGCTGACTAAGCATGTGCAACCAAATTTTGGATTCTCTCTTATTTGAGACATCATCTTGTTCATCACTACAAAAAAATATGTTAATTCTAGCGGTTATGGTGTTACATTTCTAGCGGTTTTAACCGCAACAAATAACATTTGTAGCGGTTAAGGCAACCGCTAGAAAAACAGGTGTTAGAAAAAATTTCTAGCGGTTATCGCAACCGCTACACATCATGGTCAAAACGATAGAACATTTCTAGCGGTTCGGAACCGCTAGAAAATATCTGAAGGAGACACATTCCTAGCGGTTAGAAAACCGCTAGAAATTTTTTCCGGGGAAACTTTTCTAGCGGTTTTATAACCGCTAGAAACTTTTCCCCGGAAAAAATTTCTAGCGGTTTTGTAACCGCTAGAAACCTGCTAAACGGGAATTAAATAATTTCAGTAGCGCGCGAAAATTACTAGCGGTTATAGAACCGCTAGAAATGTTTGGGAAATTAAATTTTCACACCAATTGAATTTTTAGAATGGCGGGAAACTTTTCTAGCGGTTTTTAACCGCTAGAAAGTTTGGTGCGAAATTTAAATTTGACGAAATATTTCTAGCGGTTCTGAACCGCTAGAAATGTTTACCGTGCCAGAAAAAAAAATTTATGGTTTTTCATATTATAATTTTAAAAACCATTAAATAAATTATTTTGAAGAATTTTTGTTAATTTGTATAATTAGTTATATGTTACATTTTATATATTCAAATTTTGTAATAAAAAATATGTAATTACATTATGAATGTGTTAAAAGAAGTGAATTTAATCTAATAAGATAATTTAATTGAATATTTAATAAGATAGTTGAATTAAAGATGATATATTTTGGAATATTGAACCTATAGTATTAAGTTGATGAGTATTTGAATCAGTTGAGGAGGGCATGACAAATGTGGAGAAGAAAAATCTGAAAGGAAAGGAGAAATAAATATGTTAGTAAATTTTAAATAAAAACAAATAAAAGATACAATGAATTATAAAATAAAATTCACTTACCATAGAGTAAAGAGAGAAAAAACCACAATATGAGATAGTAAGAAAAAAAGAGAGAATTATGAAGAAGAATAGGAGAGGAAGGAAAAGAGATGGAGTAAATGAATGTAGAGAAGATATGGTATTTATAGAGATCAGCGACACATTTGTAGCGGTGTTTTTGTAGCGTTTTATAACTTTTTGTAGCTGTTATTCATTTTGTAGCGTATATAAAAGCGCTAGTAATTAGTAGCGGTTACATATGTAGCGGTTATTAACCGCTAGAAATTTAGTATTTTTTTATTTTTAAAATCTGAACGAATTATAATTTACAGGTATGTATTTTGTAGCGGTTCATAACCGCTACAAATTTTTTCACGAAATTGTAATTTGTAGCGGTTATGAACCGCTACAAATTACAATTTCGTGAAAAAAATTTGTAGCGGTTATGAACCGCTACAAATGAAAATTTTTTTTTTTAAAAAAATTTTACGAATTTTAATTTATACATATGTATTTATGGACGAAAAATTTGTTAAATAATTTATTTTGGATGCTGCTACTCTCCATCATCATCCGGCCTGAAAGGACATATTTTAAAAAAATTTGTTAAATTTATGTTGTATTTGGAAAAAATTAGTAATTAGTAGTTAATTATTTAAATAATTTAAGAAAAGACGTGTACCTGATAAGTGGCAAATTATCATCTCCTTGAGGAAAGAAGTCTTCAAAATTCGAGGGTTGGAAGGGTTCACTGTCGTAAATAATGTCACCATCACCCATATCGTAAAGATCCCGTGGCTTGAGGTGAACGACCATATTCCAGTCTTTATGTTTCTCGTCCTCGACATAGTAAATTTGGTGTGCCTCAGAAGCAAGGATATATGGCTCATCATCTTCAGATGCCCCCGTATGAATAAGTCTTGAGAAATTGACTGAGGTGATGCCCAAATGGTCAGTAGCGAGTCCCCGTGAAGTTGTCGTATTTGCCCAGGAGCATTTGAACAGTGTCACGGTGAAAAGCTGGTAAGTCAACTCAATAATGTCAATTAGCTTTCCATAGTAAGTGACGCCTCCAAAGCGCATATCGCCATCACTACTGCTAGCATAACATCTCGTTCCGAATGTCCCGCAAACTCCAGAGTTTTGTGTGAGCAATCCCTGATCACGTGCAACCGTACAGAACTTGAAGCCGTTGACATTGTACGCGGTAAACCTCCGTGCATGGTCTAACGGACCGAGAGAAAGAGCTCTGAATTCATCTGTGTATGGGCTGTTGTCATTACGTATTCGACGTGTAAACCAACTGGGAAACTCTTTGTGGACTCTTTTATCAATGTCAGCAGAACGCGCACGGCCCCGTAGCTGACGCCTGAGATAACTCCTAAACTCACTATAGTAAAGTGTAATTTGTTAGAAGAGTCAGTAAGAAACAAATATAAAGTGTAAAAGCTAGTGAGCTTATATGATATATATACTTACTGCATGAAGGGTTCAACTTGGCTGCAATTTATCAAAACGTGTCTGTGTGCCTGGAGTTTCTCTGTAGGAGTGAGTCTGAAGAATTCATATCCTCCAACTGGTTTCCCAACAGGAGGAAATAAAGTTGACGTGGAAGGACCGGGAGGAGAATCATCTACGCGACGCGGGCGGTTAAAAGATGTCTCCATGTCATCAAAGTACCTCGAACAGAAAGTTAGGACCTCATCTCCGGAATAACCTTCTGCTATTGACCCCTCAGGCCATGCCTTATTCCTAACATATGATTTTAATTTTCCCAAGTACCTGTAAGTTAAAATTGCATTAATAATTACGAGTAAATGAAAGAACAATGTGAAATTTAAAGAGGCGGGAATAAAAGATAATCTAGTACCTCTCTATAGGGTACATCCATCGATAGTGAACTGGGCCAGCAACCTTTGCTTCTCGAACAAGGTGGACAGTCAAGTGAACCATAACAGTAAAGAATGATGGAGGAAATATCATCTCCAAGTGACAAAGTGTAAGAATAATTTTATTTTGCAGCTGATCAAGCTCTTCCGCTACCAAGACCTTCGCACACAACTTCTTGAAAAATGAACATAATTCTACCAAAACCACCGATACATCAGAAGGAAGTGTGTTTTTCAAGGCCAATGGAAGTAACTGTTGCATAAGAACATGAGAGTCATGACTTTTCAACCCAGTAACCTTTCGAGCCTGCAGATCGATACACCTTGAGATGTTGCTAGAA